AGAAATTGATTGGCTGCTCATAAAGGACGTGGAAAGCAACTTATCCGAAAGCGTAGCTGAAAAACGCGCGTTCATTAAATTTGTGATCAGAACCGGCTACAGAGACAGGCCTTACGTTGATAAATGTGGCGTGCCATTAGTGCGTCGCACCACTGCGGTGCACCTTGCAGCTAAAAAATCACCGGACTTGGTGTATTTTCTATTGAAAATATACGACAGATTCGACTTCAATTATACCGACGAGTCTGGTTTGACGCATTTTCACGCGGCTTGCATGTCCGGCTTGGACGACGAAGTCGAGAAATTTCTCGAGCTCGGCCAGGATCCCAATTGCATCTGGCCACAAACTGGCGATTCGCCGCTTCACTTGGCTCTGGCTGCCGGACACGTAGAAGTGACGAAATTGCTCTTGCTTGATGGCGCCGACCCGACTTTGCCCAATGCAGAGGGATCGACCCCGCTGCATGTCATTTGCGGTTCTAGAATTAACCTGCCCTGGTACGATGAAAAGAACGTGAAATTGGCGAATATATTGTTCGAGATTAGTAAAGAGAATTATCAGACGATGCAGGTCGACGCCCGGGATAAATTAGGCCGGACACCTCTGCAGTGGGCCGTAGCGAGGCTCGATTTAGATCTAGTCGACGTTCTCTTGGACCGTGGCGCTGATCTAACCAATTTCGTTTTCCCCGCTGAGAGACATTTCGGTGAATGTTTCAGATTTTATAAAAACAATAAACAGATCGTCGAGGTGAAATGGATTCTAGCGTTCGGGGTTCTGGCAGTCGCCGAGCGTCTAGAGAGCAAAGGATACGGACTGAAGCAAAACGACGCCCTAACGATCGTAAAACTTTTGGTCAAGCACGGATTGACTTATGGATTGTTAAATTTTGATTATAATACAAAATTACTCGCGGCCGAAGCGAAAGAAATACTGATTAAGCCGAGCTTATCGTTCTACGACTTGGCCCAGTTACGATTTAACGAGGCGGAAAAATTAGTTTCACCGAAAGACGGCTTGGAGTTCGTGCTCGCGGAGCATAATCGCATCGATTTTTTTGTGGGATATGCGATGCCTTTTTTATTCGAGACGATATCGAGAAGATTTTTCCGTCGATGGGCACTGGAATTTTTCTTGATATTGACGCGATACAGACTGCCGATTCTCTGCTGCGAGGAGATCATCGATCAATTGATGATAGAAGATGTGCTGAGATTGTGTCTTTCGGTAGAAGGCATTGAAGACGAAGAGAACCAAAACATTGGATATGGATTGCAGAGGTATCGTGATTTATTTATTTATTTGTCTAAAAACTAATTTTTCTTAATTGTTTTTAACTTTCAATCTTGTTTTCAGGCAACTAAAACGAGTAATTTTTAATTTATTTTCTCTCGTCTTAAGATATATTATGTTAGGTTTTGATAATGTAAAAAATTAAAATTTCAGTTATTATTTTTAAAAAACTCTTGATTTTGTGAAACTTGTCAAAAAAGATGGGACAGTGTCAATATGAATTTGATCAATTCAAGTAAACGATGTAATAAAATAAAAACAGAAAAATATTGTAGATGACAATTATGCTGAATTTATTAGGATTCAATTTAGTCAATTAATGCTGAGCAACATCGATTAATTCACCAGCGTGAGCTTGTTTTTGACAATTCATTAATTTAATTACCAATACTTAAAGTATAAATTTCATATCTAGCTTCATGTGATGCGACGTGTTGACATTTTTGTTTTGGTGCGAGACTCGTCCACTCGACTCGCCTTGCATTGATAATGCGTGGTGGCTTATATACTGAAGGAGAGGGGCACACACCACGCAGTTGTCAGTTGCCTGCCGCAAGTCGAGTCGTTCAGTTAGTTCTCAGACTTTGCTACGCAATAAGTCACGACGTCGCACTCCGCAGAGTAAAACAAAGGAAGTTCGTATCGACTACCGATGGGATTCTCGTTGAAGAAAATTAGTTTTACAAATTTTAAGCCGGTGAATTTTGTGTGATTGTGCTAAACAATGTACGCATTTAGTAACGAATACTATACAATTTCTGACGATTACAACGACGATGACTCTAGTGACGATAATTATTATATTGATAAAAACGACGCAAGTCGTGATGGTGATTCCGACGTCGTGTGCCAAGAAAAATTAGAAAAATTGAAGAGCTTACGAGAAGAGTACAACGGCAAGATCAACGAAAGTAATGCATGCGGATTTTTTTATAGTTTTGTTGACTTGATTCCTCGTTGGAAGAAGCAACTACCTAACCTCCGAGAGATATTTCGAAGTGACGAAATCGATCGTCTTCTCATAGAGGCCGTCAAGAACTGGCAGGTAGGACAACTGTTCATCGATTTTGTGGTTCGCACCGGCTACAAAGACGAGCCCGAGGTAGACAAAGACGGCAAACCATCGTCGCTTCGTACGACTGCGGTGCACTGGGCAGTTAGACACAATCGCTCTACCATAATCCCGATCCTTTTTCAAATATACGACAGATTTGACGTGAACTACGTCGACGAATCTGGATTGACGCATTTTCACGCGGCTTGTGAGTCCGGCTGCGATGACGTCGTCGAGAAATTTCTCGAGTTTGGTCAGGATATTAATTTCCCGTCAAAAAAATCTGACGCAGTGAATATTTCTCCACCTTTACACTTGGCTGTGGATGGTAACCACATAAAGGTGGTCGAACTTCTGCTGAGAAAAGGCGCCAAAGCAATGAACGACGAAGCCCATCAGTTGGTCGACGTTGACGCCCCGGACTATATGGGTCGGACCCCACTGAACATGGCTTTGAATCGCAAAAACGTGCCGATCATGAAATTGCTACTGAGACACGGCACCGATCCGAACTTGATCGACAGGCAGGGATCGACTCCTCTGCACGTCATCGTTCAGGGGCCAAATATTTTTGGCCTGATGGAGATATTTTTCGAGATTAACGATGAACTCAATAATGTAGTGCAGGTCAACGCTCAGAACAAGTTGGGCAGGACACCGCTGCACTTGGCTCTGAATTACAATTACAAAAAGGTGGCCGAATTATTGCTAAGAAGAGGCGGCGATCCGAATCTGGCCGACAACAACGGTTGGACGCCTCTGCACATCCTCTGCCTCAGTAACAACAACGACTTTCTGCACGCGTTCTTCGAGATCAACGACGAAATTCAGCAGACGGTGCACATCGACGCCCAGGATGAATTGGGTCGGACACCTCTGCACTTGGCTCTGAAGTGCGACGATGAGGACTTGATCGGATTGCTGCTGAGGAAGGGCGCCAATCCGAATGTGGGCGACAAGGACGGCTGGACGCCTCTGCACATCCTCTGCCACAGGAACAACGACGACTTTTTGCGCGCGTTCTTCGAGATCAACGAGGAGACGAATCGCGAGGTGCGGATCGACGCCGCTAATCACCTGGGAAAGACGCCCCTGCATCTGGCCGTGGAGTACGGCCACGAGGATCTGATCGGATTGCTGCTGAAGAAGGGCGCCAATCCGAATTTGGGCGACAAGGACGGATGGACTCCGCTGCACATGATGTGCAAAAAGCGAGACCTGTCGAGATTCACAACGATATTTTTCGAGACGTGCCGAGAAATCGATCGGCGCGTGGAGATCGACGCCGTGGACAAGTTGGACCGTACACCGCTGCAGTGGGCCGTGGCGAGTCTCTTTCCGAACGTGGTCGACGCGCTGCTGGATCAAGGCGCCGATCTGGCCAGCTTCGTCTTTCCCACCGAGAGTCATTTTGGCGAGTGCTTCTTTGAACATAAGGGCTGCTTGAAGTTTAAATTTGCAGTTGTGTCTAATGTGTTGACGATCGTAGAGTTTTTAAAGAAAAAAGGATATGAACTGGACCGAAGTGATGCTCTGACTATCATGAAATTGTTCACTAAGCATAAACTATTCGATGAATTAAAGAATCTTGACGAATATTTGCGTTACGATAAACACTTCGAGTCCAAATCGAAAGAATTACTGATAAAGCCGAATCTATCGTTCTACGATTTGATTCGAATGCGACCCGAAAAGGTGTTGAAATTATCAACTATTGCGGACTTTTTGTCATTCGAAAGCTCGGCCTTGATTTATTTAAACTGGAATTATAGAAATTCTTGTCTAGCGTACATGTGCGAAATAGCGTTGAAAGGATTTTACCAGCGATGGACATTGGAATTTTTCTTGACCCTAACGCAGTATCAACTACCAATTCTTTGTTGTGAAAAAATCTTGAAGAAGCTTTCAAACGAAGATTTGTGGAGAATATGTCTGTCGGCAGAAGTCATTACAATCAATCAGAGCTAGGACATGCGATGCAGTTCGCGAAGGTATTTTTTTTAATGCTACAAGTAATCGTTTTTTTTTTCACTATTATTAATTTGTACTGTTATGATTTTCCAGGTAAAAATATCGAGGAGTTTAAAAGTTATTTTATGATTAACAGAGTTAAAATATTTTTGTTTGTACGCCAAATTACCATTATGATTTATGTATGGAATAAAAATTTTATTACAAGTGAATAAAATTAATGAAATAAATCGAATACTTGGGTTTACATATTTTAAGCATTAAACCCATCTATTGAACAGATAAGCTTGCAATGTAAAATCAATGAACTATGAAGTATTGATTCGTTGAGGCGAGCCGTTACACATTATTTTTTATCATTCTGTCGCCTAATATTCTACTTACCAAAATCATCCGATTTTTACATCAAAATCATAACTTTTATTTATGAAAAGGTCTCAATAAAAAAAATACAAAAAAGTTACATTCGTTTCTACATCGACCTACATTATTTCAAATTCGCTAGCATAATAATTCCAATCTCTGACCAACGCGTTTCGCGTCACGCGCTGTGTTTACATTATCGCGCGGTACCGGCACGTGACCCGAATCATCTCGGGAATGCCGTGACAGATGAGCGAACGCGGCTCTCGCTTATTATATACATTCGGTGCGGTAGTGTCGCGCCGCGTGTCGTTCGGTTCGGACGTAGCGCAGCGTATAAACAAAGGAAGATCGCTCCGAATTCGCAGCCAGTGTGATTCTCGTGAACTCTATATAAATTCTCGAAATTATTACGAGTGCGTGTGCGAGTGTGCACGATGATCGTGGCCGAAGACAACGACGACCACGAGGAGGACTGCCTCGCGATACTGAGAAGCATGCGCGAGGAGGTCGACTGGGAGATCGAGGAGGAGAGATACCCCTTCTTCCGGCGCCTCGTGTACCTGACGCACAAGTGGACTGGCCAACTGCCGGATCTTCGCGACTTCTTCCGTCCCGAGGAGATGGACTGGCTCCTGGCCGAGGACGTGAAGAACGAGGACAGTCCGGACGTCTACTTCAACGGCTTTCCGCTGATCGGCTTTGTGATACGCAGCGGCTACAAGGACAGGCCCGAGCTCGACGAGGCGACGGGCCGGCCCGTGCGGCTGCGCACCACCGCCGTGCATCAGGCCGCCGCCGGCCTCCGATACTTCTTCAACGTCGACAGTCTGTTTCGCATTTACAGCAGGTACGACGTGAACTACGTGGACGAGCTCGGGCTGACGCATTTTCACGTGGCCTGCAAGTTCAACTGCTATCGGGTCGCCGAGAGATTCCTCGAACTGGGCCAGGATCCCGACTGCCTCGACGGGGAGGAGTCAACGTCGTCGTTGATCAATCCGCCGCTGCATCTGGCGCTCGAGTACGGCTTGAGGGATCTGGCCGAGCTGCTGCTGCGTCACGGCGCGGACGCGAATCTCGCCACGGCCTACGGACTCACCCCGCTGCACGTCGTCTGCAGGCGCGATCACGACGTGCTCGGGCCCATCGTCCAGTGCGAGGCCATGGTGCTGCTACAGATGCTGTTCGAGACGGGCCGAGCTGATCTGAAAGTCGACGCCCGGGACAATTTGGACAGGACGCCGCTGCAGTGGGCCGTGGCGAATCTCATGCCCGGCAGCGTCGAGTATTTGCTGGCTCGCGGCGGCGCCGATCCGTCTAGCTTCGTTTTCCCGAGCGAGGACTACTTCGGCGACAGGTATCGCCGGAACAGGAGCAACTGGGCCGGCTACAGGTACAACGTGGCCGCGGACGCGCTTCGCGTCTTCGACTGCCTGAAGCGGCGAGCTGGCTACGAGTTGACGCGCGCCGACGTCCTCACGGTCATGCGGTTCTTCGTTTATCTCGAGAAAATTCCCAACGCCGATGATGACGATGATAATTCCGACGACGAGGACGACGATCGCGAGGAGCAGCAGCACACGAGCAGCTGCCGGGTGTGTCGCGCCGTAATCGCGAAGCCGCCAACAGCTGCTGCGTCGCTGTGTCGCGCGCACAGATTCGCCAAGACCACGCGAGGATTTTTCCAGCGCTGGGCCGTGGAATTTTTCGCCACGCTGACCCGTTATCGGCTGCCGCTTCTCTGCTCCGAAAAGATCGTGGGTATGCTCGGCAACGAGCACGTGCTGACGATGTGCACCGCCTCGGAGATGACTCTGAAGGAGCAGAGCGAAGGTATTTTCAATTGTTGTTGTTGTTGTTGTTTTTTACCTTATTTTCATGTTTTCTTTTTTTGTTTCTAGACAAGGAGGTCGAGGATTTGAAAAATTTGCACCTGAACGAGTGACGTCGCGCGCGTTTGATTGTGTAATAATTTATTGTTCAAAGATAAAAAATTATTTGGAATTAAACGCAAATTCGAGTGCAATGGATTGTACCTTTCATGACCTAAATTTGAATCAATCCTTATGATACAATTACAAAAGAAAAATCACACGCCATCGCCCGTAAAGGTTTCCACTCGTCGAAAATTCATAATTCAACTATTCTCTCATTTCGCGTACTTATAGAGAGGACGAATTTCACTCCTTTAATTAGAGTTGCCGAATCACATATAGACACGAGGGATTGACTCGTACACACACACAGACACACACAAGGACGCAATCGACTGACGCCGAGTGAGTATATTATGTATATATATAACGAAGGAGGCAATTGCACAGAGTCTCCTGATTAACCGAATCGTCGCTTATCTCGGCGAAATAAAAGCGACTGACGGGGGGGGGGGGGGGNGGGGGGGGGGGGGGGGGGGGATCTCATTTACGATTCACAGCAAGCGACGTATATTTATAGAGAAAGAGTCGAAAAGGCGAGGGAGAGAATTTAGGAAAGTCTCGTTAAAGTATTTATCTCTCTCTCTACCTTTAGAAAAGTAGATTGATAGCCCCCGTCGCCTTGTGCGCCTTGTATGTGTGCCTCCGTCACGGAGCAGCACTCTAATACAGAGCCCCGACGTCGATCGTAAATTCACTCTGTTTACCCTCTCAATGATCATTTGTTATTGCGCGCGCCCCGACGGCGAGTATTTCCTTGCACGAGAGCGAAATTACTCTTCATTATATCCCGTATTCCATGTATCCTGTATGTAGTGCAAGGCGCATTTGTATTAAGTACAAACACACACACACACACACATACGTATATATATGTAATGAAAGTGGTCGGAAGTAAAAATAACTGAACAATCGACGACGACGACGACGACGGGTCGTTTACCTCTTGCGAGAGAGACTAGTCGCGTGTACAGCACGTGGTCGCGACGACGAGCTGTGCGTGTCTGGGGGGAGTATCGTCCATGTATCTATCTATAAGTATATATATACGGAAAATAAAAAAGAAGAGGAAGAAGAGAGAGAGGAAAAAAAAGAACACCGCAAACGCGACGAAGATCGATATCGACCCCCCTCCCTCTCTCTACTCTATAATGTATATAGGAGGTCTTTGGCTCGGAGCTTCCATTGCGCTTTTTCTTTTCGTATCTGCACACAGGCCGCGAGCAGCAGCAGTTGGTTTAATTATATACGGTCGTAAAACGTACGGAAATAACGTATATGTATACATCTGTATATAACTAACGCCACCCCCCACCCCGTTTCGTAGCGCGGCCGCGCGGCTTCACTCTTTTTTTCTCTCTCTCTCTCTCGCTCGCTCGCTCTCTGTGTACTTAAAAAGTTTAATGGCACTTTAGCCTCATAATTGCATTTTCCCCGGGCGGAGTAGTGTGCATACACACGGACAAAGTTGCACAGCGCGGCGCACTTTTAAATTTTCCATGTGTATACACGTATATGTACCCACTTGTGCGCGGGCCGGCCTGTGCAGGCTCTCAATAATAATAATAATAGTAATGATGAAAAAAATAAATAACGATCCTCGTGGAGATCGCAACTTTTCTCTAGCGGATCAGTTCGATGTGAAAAAAAAATTTATAACAACGACCTTCGTTCATCTCTCCCTCGATAGACAATATTATCGTGTATATAATATGGGTACATAGCTTGGTGCATTATGTAAAGTGGTCGAATCAAAGAACTTCTTAATAATAATGCGCGGGGCTTCTCAGCAGAGCTCTTATATTATATACTTTAAAAAGGCCGTGACAAGACAGGCTCGAGCGAAGCTGTACACATTTTAGAATAATAATAATGAAATAATAAAATGCATTATCATTCGCCACAAAATTCATATTTATCAGGCTTCTCTCGACTTTCTGCCTTGTGTCGTATTTTATATATAATGATGATAATAATGAAGTCGGCCTCGAGGCTAATCGACTATAGCGTCAAATTTTCACCTCTCAACATCAACAACAACAACAACAACAACAACACAAACACAAACAGCAGCAGCAAAGCTCGACTTTCTTTCACGATCCGCAAAGCTCAAAGACGCCCACTCTCGTATTATACAGTACTCACTGCTGCTATACCTCGCGTGTATCAGGTTATCGATAATGGATATTTTTATTTATAAAATACTATATTGTATACAACGTCGGGGGGGGAAAAAAAATATGGATACATACGCATCTCTCGTTTGCTCGCGATAGCCGAAAAATTTCGCTTCGAAACTGGAAACCACGCGTGTATACGATCGGCTGATCCTCCATTATTCAATAGGAACGTTGGGACGTTTATAGCTGCTAGATCCGAGAGTTAGTACGCGTTTGACGATCCGATCGTTTCTCTGCGTGTATATACAAATCCCTCGCACGCCGCGTCCATTTCATTTCTACTGGATTCCGAATACATCGATTAGCAGAGAGCTTGTAAAATTTATATTACATAGGAAAGGGCTTTGAATCAGTCAGTCGTGCGCGTGACTGGCTGGTATAGAAGTCGAAAAATGTTCCTACTCGTGTACGCGATTCGATCTCTGTGGATAAGTAGCGGGAGATGAGTTTTTAATGCGACTGTCATTCGTATCTCATCATGCACACCCACCCACGCACACACACACACACACACACGCACGGATCAAAAAGCCATTGTGTGGATTTTCTTCGGGCACACACGCGTTCGATTGGAAAAGTTTTTTTTTTATTTTCACTTTATTCCTTCGAAAATCTCGCGCGGAAAATTGAATTACTTTTCGTATTATGTACGACTATAGAGGGTAAGAAGGAAGCCAAATCCGATAATTCTTCATTTTCATTCTCATCCATTATTATATCCTGCATATGCGTATATGATTTTTTTCTCATCGCCAATCGCCCGAAAATAATCACGGATATACATCGTCGAAACTAGAAGCGCAATCGCCGAGAAAACAAATATAATATAAGCCAAGCCTCGAGCCCCACAGCATAAACCGCAGCGATACGCGGAGGGGAAAAAAATCCTTGAGAGCTTTTCAATTTCGCTTCGTATACGTATACAAACACATGCGTGCGCGGAGTTATATGTCACATATGTATGTATATACGTGAGCTGCGCACACGCGGGTAACGCGATAACGACGAAAAATACTCCGTGCGCGAAAATAAATAAATAAATATCGCGGCGGATATATATTATATTCGCGTGTGCGTTTGATAACGCAGAAGAAAAAAGTCGTGTGTACGAAAGTAAAAAAGTAAAAAAAAAAAAAAAAAGAAAGAAAGGCAAAGATTAATGTCGAAGCCCCGCGGCCGAGAGTGGAAAATTCAGTCCAACGAGCGCGCGCGGGGCAGTGGAGCTCCTTATTATAGTGTATACAGCAGCGGTAGCTGCGACACGCGATCGTATTATAGGCCGAAGCGTAAAATGTGCAGCGTGCATACATGCCCATTATCGCGTCGCGTCAAAAGCTCCAGCCTGCAGCTACCTGTGATGTGTGTGTGTGTGTGTGCTTGCACCTCTACGCATTCTGGCTTCCGAATAATCATAATGATGACGATGACAAATATTATATGCACACCTCGAGTGCGTCGAGAGGCCCGAGGGGGTCATTTCGCGCGCACAAACGAGCCACGTATACACACAACAGCGGTTTAACGTATTTATATTATACGTACTCCAGAAAGCTAATCGCGCGTAAACGCGTTACGTTGTGTACTATATAACGGCGTTGATGGACTTTGCAGTATATGCACGCTGGGGTTGATTTTCGGCTTTTGCCCGCTGTGATTGAGTTTATACTGTATACGTGTATACGCAACGACATCACCCCCTTTTTTTTAATAATTTGCGGACACGGCCGCGTCGACGGGGATGATGTATCGATCGTTTATTCGCCCCCCTTCCGAGTCGTTAATTGACGCGGACGTTGCGCGGATCGACGTATACAGATACATCATCCGAGAGAGAGAGTTAGCGAGACGAGACGAGAAATAATCATCGTCGTGACTTGTGTATATCTTGCGGGAATCTTGGGGGCGCTGATCATTTGGGCGCTATTCATTCGCTCAAGGTGATGAATGAGTTTCCGTGGGTACATGCGGTTAAACTTGTTGTACTTGCCACGACGTTCTCTCGAATACGTCGAAAAGTTAATCTCGAAACCTCGATTTTATAGTTCTATCAATCTTTTTCTTTTTTCTTTTTTTATTATTTTCGTTCTAATCTAATCTATTCTCTTCTCTCCTCGACGCGGTGTACCCCCGACTATTGCATGTGTGTGTGTGTGTGTGTGCGTTACGTTTCTATATATGTACGCGTGCGTTGGCGCGCTTATCGATGCAAGCTTAATCGCCGGTGAAAAGTGCCGGAGAAATATGTAGAAAATTCAACCGCAGCGAGAGAGAAAGAGAGAAAAAGAATTAAAAACAGTGATTGACTTTCGACAAAAAAAAATTGTAATTATATTTCTTTTTTTAGTTTCTCTGGTGGAAATGCTCGACGCTGATAATGTACCGATGATCAAAAAATTACCATTCAAAGTGTTTTATAATTAAGTTATAATCGATTGTCTTGTGTGTCAAAATTGTGGAACAATTATAAAGCACATTTTAAATGATTCGAGTATCTGACACTAGATGGCGAGTACCTAAATCTGTAAATCCGCAAGTGGCAAAGTCAAAATAATTGTATAAGTCAAAGTAAAAAGTATTGAAAAGTTCAATCAATATATTTCTTCTTCTATCTAGTTTTGATCGATAAATAATCATTGAAAAAAAGGGAAGCATCATGTGACCACAAAATACTGAACAAAACGTTACACTTTGCCTTAATAAATTACCAGTTATAACGGCCCTTTCATGTCCCCAGAAATTTTTTCCTTGGCCAAAAACTAGTCGTAAAACGTTAAGCATTTCTACCAGGGTTAACGCTATTCAAATTAACGCATTCACGGAAATGAACATCGTTGCGCGCACTATACAAAACTCGTACAGCGAAGGCTGCAAAAACTCATTTCGTTACGTCGACCGACAGTATACTATATTAAAAATAATATAAAGAAAAAAAAATAACAATACAATATTTTTAGTTGCCTTAACAAAATTAGCTTATTGTTGGGCTAAAATTAGCGCATTGTTGCGCGTTGCCAAAAAATTTCAGTCGCACCTGCGATAGTTCTCAGTTGACGTAACCGCGCTAATGGCTTTTTTTAGCATCGCAGCATTATTGTTCACGAGTTTTGCGATTGTACGTGCGTCGCGATATTTTTTTTGTTTTTTTGTTTTTGCCGTATACACGAGACGAAAAAAGGACGATGATAATCGAGATGAATTTCAATCGATTCGAATTACGAAGCTTCGACACCCAAGTTATTGAATAGATTCGAGCGATGGCGCCGTAATTTTCATCTTCGCTCATTGTGTCCCGTCGTATAATTCCATTAATTAATATCATTCCCGCGCCGAGATAAGTCGGCGAATCGAAATTCTCTTCGTCGCTGCAGCGCGCGCCGAGAGTTTCTCACCTATATAATAATAATAATATAATTAAATCCTATAAGTACATAATCTCCAGCGACAACGAAGCGCGCGAGAGAGAGAAGAAAAAAGAAGGTAATCATCGATAATTCGCTCCACTTATATATAAATCCTCGCAAACAATCAATTTCCATCGTGTATATGTATATAATACCTGGGTATGAGCTTGTCCTCGAGCATGGTCGGCAGATCGTCGCAGTCCTCCTTCAGGGCGGCGAAGAAGTCCTGAAACTTGTCGGGGAAGCTGCTGACGGGCGGCGGACAGGTGGTGGTCGTCGTCGAGGTGCTGGCCGTGCAGCCGCTCGCACTAGTCGAGGCGCTCCCCCGCCTGCTGCTGCCGGCGCTGTTGCTTCCGCTATTTTTTCTCGTTGATTGTTGTTGTTGTTGTTGCTGTGGTTGTTGTTGATCACCGTTGTACCAAGACGACGGCACGGTCGACGTCGTCGCCATGATATTATCGACACGAGAATTATTTATTTAACTTTATTTTTTATTTACTTCTTTGGCAGTTTGACAGGCTCTCGCGTCGAGATGTGATTTATATATCTGAGAAAAGATCGAGAGAGAGAGAGATGTGAAAGACGAGACGTCACACGCAATGTCACATTGGTCGGAGAGGATCATCCTCTTTTAGATTAGAGAGAGATAGAGAGACGGAGATTCGCGGATCGATAGGATACAAATATGTGTGTAACAACGAGATCCTGCGATAATAGCCAACAATAATAACGTCGTAATTAATAATCGCTTCCTAATTGGATCTATATTTATAATGCGGATTCGACTTCGCGGGGGTATTATATATGTATCATATTATAATATCAGAGTAACGCGCAGTTGTCGAAACGGCACGTGTTATCCGTATAACTTTCGCCCTTTATACCCGCTACACATACAGCAGAGTTACCAACGATATGATCCGCTTGTGCCACTGCTATTATTATGTATGAAAAGAAAAAAAAAACCTCCCGGAGCTTTAAACGCGTATACGCAGCAGCAGCAGCAGCGATCGAGAGTCGTAAACGCGCAATACGCCGCAGCAGCAGTAGCACGTAAAATATCTAATACCACCTGCGTTCTTATATACCGAATGCAGAGAGTTTTTTTTTATATGCACCTGGGAGAGAGCTGGTAACGTTACACACACACAGACGCGAGTCTCCGTGCATCGTAGCCGCTGTACGGGAGCTTTGCATATTTTAACGCGCGTATACCTACTGTATACGGAGTATAGTTTGCGGAGCTTGCGATCCGAGCTAAGGCGCAATATTCGTCGTCGTGCCGTATATAATGCCTATATAATACGCCGTATTATGTGTACATATCGTTGCCGATGAAAACCAAACGCACAAGTTATATCGCTCGCGAAGGGTCGTTATATGATAATGCCGCGTGTGCGAAGCAATTATCCTCGCGCGTATGGGTCTACGTTGGTGAGCTTTTTTTCTCATTTTTTCTCTCTCTCTTTTTTTTTGTTATCTTGACGTTTGTTTCCTCGCAAGCTCTCTATATAGCTGCTCCTACTTTGAGCCCTCGAGTTCATTTATAGATGTCAAATCGCGCGCGCGCGTCGAGGGGCTTGTAATCGGAATCGAGATCTCTCCGATTTAACTCTGTAATACAGAGAAAAGTCGGCTCGAGATCGGGGAAGAGACGTTGGAAGAGAGCAAGGATGAATGAAAAAAAAAAAAAACATAGAATCGGCTTTGGGATAATCCATCGTAATGTATTATTTATCGTTGTTCTTTACGCGCTCGAGCTAACACGCACCGCGTACTCGCTCGCGATAAATAGTAAGTCAGCGATCGTAATGTATTTTTCGTACGAAAAAACAGAAAAACCTTGAAAGAGTCATTATATTACTCGGAAATTTCATCCTCCCCGAGCCGAGCGCGCTTAAACCGAGTAGTCTTGCAAGCTCCAGCTCGAGCTCGCACGTGTCTATACGCGGTACATGTATTACGGGTCTCGGTTAAAGAGTCGAAAAGCTGCGTGGCATTGTTGCGTATAGCGGAGCAACAAGAAGAAAAATAATAGAAAGTATAATATGATGAACGATCGAGAGCGACCGCAGACAGGCGAAAACGATTTGTCGCTGTCGTCTCTCTCTCTCTCTTTCTCTCTTTTTCTTTCACACACACTTGTATTCGCGCCGCGAATGAAATGCTTTTTTTTTCTGCTCTCGCGCGCGTCAAAATAAAAAAAAGACCATCGCTGCTTATACTCCCACGCACATACACAAAAAAAAGGATTGAATTAATGCATACGAGAATTCGTACCATTTGATTATCCTTTTTATCCTCGCGCGCACTTTCTACTCCGCGCACTCGTGCCCGTCGAAAGTTATCGACATCATCATCGTTGCGTTAAACACGCACCACGCACTCGCGCACAAACACTGGCTTTTCTTACGATATTATTTTTTTTTTTTATTTTTCTTTGATTTTGCACACACGCACACACACCGCGCGAACACACACTTCGCGTTTCCCTTTTGGTTTTTTTTTTGGTAATAACGAATAACGAGGGCGATGAGGACGATGCGCGCGCCCGTCGCTGGGAAAGACTGCGCGTACACTGAAAGCTCGGGCACCCACTCGGCGAGAGGTGCATGCCTCCGCGCTTTTCCACCACCACCACCACCACCAGCAGCGCTACCACCTCAACCACCGCTATATATATACGAAATAATAGTAATAACGATACCGCACTGACAAAGCCGCCTCTCTCGTATACTCGCGTGCTTGCACATATCTCTGCTCCCCTCTTCTTCTTCTCGGCGGCGTGGTGCGCGTGTTATGCCGTGCTCGCGTTCAAGTTCGCGCTCCCCCACACCCCCTCTTCTGCCTCTTCTCCCCCGTGGCGTTGTTGTTGTTGTTGCTGCTGCTGTTGAAATGTCGGAGCTTTTGTTCGCCAGCGATACGCTCGCAACCTTATACGAGAGCGAACAATTCGAGCGTACATACACGTGTGTATAGGGTACATATAATATACATCACTTTTAATGATCATTGTTTTGCGAAATATTTTCGGTAAATTCTCGCGTGCACTTGTGTCCTCTGCGTATATATTGTATAATACATCGAGAGAGAGAGAGAGAGAGAGAGAGAGTCGCGCGGTTATAAACATGTCTCGCGCGCGTTATTCACGTTTTACGATCTCTCGGCGCGCGCGACGCGAGCCCTGCGCGCGGCCGCGTGCTCGTCGTGAGATGCCAAAAGCTCGCTATGCGTTACGTACTTGACGTAGCGGGCAATAAAAATTTTTCCACGCCGAATTGTTTGGCACGCGGCGCGGATGTATGCACACAACACAGAAATGCACAGAAGTATGTTATCGAAGCCCACGCGTATACGTATATAAAATAGCTCTAAGCTCTCTCTCTCTTTCTCTCGTCACGCACATTATAAAGGCGATCTCTACTCTCTACTCTCTCGCTAGTCCATTTGAATTTTGCGGAATATATAGAAAATCGATAAGCCCGAGCTTGTGTGTGTGTGTGTCGTACGATACGCGCGACGAGAGCTTGATTTTCCGGCCGTATCATTTCGAGAGTATACAATACGCGTCGCGCGCAATTCGTCGTACATATGTACGTACGTACGCACGTGCGTACCTTGGACACGGGCTATACAGCAGCTGCTGCTGCTGCGCCTCTCGTTATTTGTTTTCGTTCGACGTTATATTTACGCGCAAACGCGTGTCCGGCGATCCGAGCTCTCTCGGATCCGAATACGAGATATCGAGAGCTTTCGTCTATATACGCCGTGTATACATTATGCCAGTGCTATAGGCGCACCGAAGCGTCGATGTTATCCGAGCGTATAATGTATACCCGGCCTTCCATCTACGAATCGAGATTGTTTTTACTACTTTTTTTTTTTTTGCTTGTTTTCATGGTCATGGTTTCTGGGTCGTTGCTTCTCGCGATTCGACGATAATAATATGTTTCTCGAGAGATTTTCCGAATCGGCTCGGTATAAATCGACGCGATGTATCCATGCTTGCAGGCGGTTTAGCGCGTAAAATATAAAGAGCGAGTCGCGAAGCTCTGCAGCGGGTAAGCAGCTTGGAGCTTTTGGATTCCTGTATTACCCACGACGGCCCGCTGACACCGACGACCGGGCGTGTACGTATGATAAGCTTCGGTTAGAATCGTTCCTGTCTTACCGTCGTGAGGTTTTTAATAGTCGTACGCACGGGAAAGAAATCGATTTTAACGAAGGGTGCATCGTCGAGCGAAATTTAAATACGTTATCTTGCTATTTGCGTGGAACTATGTCCTTTTTTATGTTTCAAAATCTATTCTTTTGTTTCCTTAGGAAAGTAATGAGTAAAAAAGAAAATTTAACATAATTTTTTAATAATTCTATTCTTTCAAACTCTGTGAAATGAAACACTGTTCTAGAGAGCTTTTTGAAGTAACTTTTTACAAATTATGTTTCAAATTTTATGTCTCTGAGTAAGGATATTTTTAACTTTTTAACTGGGCTCAAAGTTTCAATCGAAAGCAAGCATACAGACACACGATGTGCGGGCAAAATCACACGCGCACTTTCCTGTTAACTATTTCATCTTTTATGCTTACTTTCACGGAAAGAGCTTGGTCGACGCGTCGCGAAATAAAATAAAGCGTCGATCGACGCATTCCAAAACGTGCCGTATCTCGAGTTCTGTGCGCGATAGGATGAGTTTCGTTATTGCTGGCCGTGACTCGCTCAGTTTGTCTCGAGAATTCGGCGTTTGTATCTATACGTTTTATTTGTTACGACGCCGCTGCGTGAACAGCAACCGATTTATTAATTTCATACGACGCTTAATTTGTAGTTTGCGGAACACGATGTCCGACAATGGTTTCGATGTATTTTATCATTCTGATAATTGCATTTGCGAGAGATGTCATTATTACGAAAGTGACGACGAATGGGAATACGAATGGAGAGACCAGGTTCGAAGGTATGTCTGCGATTTCTGTATTTACGTTTCAAACATGATGATTATTTTAATGATAATTATTATTTTTATAAAAGTGACAATATGACGGCAGAAGAATATAATTTCCGGATGCACAGATTCCAAACGTATGTCTACATTTACTATTTATTTTCTAACATGATGATTATTTTAATGATAATTGTTATTTTTATGACAGTTGCGGTTGGTTTCCTGCCAAATATCTCCGGTGCAAGGGAAATGTGGAAATATTAAAGAACTTACGAGGGAAGCTCAATTGGGAGATGGAAGAAGAACGACATAAATTTCTCAATCAACTTTATCCTATACTGGCAGGTAATTGGGTGGGTCCACCTCCAAATCTCCGGGACATTTTTGGAAAAGGCGAAATTGATTGGCTTCTCGCGGAGTCTGTGAAAAATAAACACGAAGACACGCCCTTTCTCGTCGACTTCTTAATTTGCACTGGCTACAAAGACGAGCCTGAAGTCGATAAAGACGGCAAGACAATAATGCGTCGCACTACTGCCATACATCATGCGGCTAAAGTTAACCACGGCCACTATTACATCGATAATCTATTCAAAATATATAACAGGTTTGACGTTAATTACACCGACGAGACAGGATTTACGCATTTTCATGCGGCCTGTAAATTTGGCCGTCACGACGTCGTCAAGAAATTTCTCGAGCTCGGCCAGGATCCCGATTGTCTCCCTCACGAGGAATCAAATGGTCCACCTTTACACTATGCTCTGATCCATAGTCGTAAGACGGTCGCGCGATTACTGCTGAGAAGCGGCGCCGACCCGAATTCGCTCAACGCAATGAAGTCGACACCTTTGCACGTCATTTGCCAGAGATACCAATATCAGGACGATGATTTGGCGGAGATATTTTTCAAGATCAACGATCGCAAGCGTCAACGGGTGCAAGTCCACGCCCTGGACGAGTTCGGTCGGACGCCGCTGCAACGGGCCGTGGCGAATCTCATGCCGAAAACCGTCGATATCCTTCTAGATAATGGCGCTGATTTGTCTGGCTTCGTGTTCCCGACCGAGAGTCACTTCGACGAGCGCCTCAAACGGTACAAAAGAGCATGGATCGGATCGAAATTAGAAGTAGCGCTTCACGCGCTGAAGGTCGTCGAGTGCCTCGAAAAAAGAGGATACGAATCGGACCGTATCGATGCCCTGAAGATTATGAAGATATTCGCCGAGCTCGAAATGTTCCCGAAATCGGCGGTTCTTAAAGAATGTCGTCACGACGAAGACGAGTATCCCTCAGGAGTGGAACGGAATACGATAAGGGATAACGATCCGAGTCTGTTGCTGTACGACCAGCTGATCCAATTGCGACCCAAAGAGGCGGCGAAACTAGTCACGAATTCGGATTACTCGAAGTTGTCGCGCTCGATCGATGCCAAGTGCTCGCACACAGGAATACCCCATACCGCTTGTACGGTGCATCTGTGCGAGACGATGTCCAGAGAATTTTTTCGGCGTTGGGCACTGGATCCTCTCTTGGAGCTCACTCACGGCCGACTGCCAATTCCGTGTTGCGAAATGATCATTGATAATCTAATGAACGAGGATTTGTTGAGAATATGCCTGGCAGCTGAAATCATTGAAAACGAACAGAGCCAAATGACGTGAGTGCGTTTGCCATGATAATATTCATTTTACGGACTTCACTAAATAATAGTTCGTTTATGCTACGTTTCAACCTTCCAAGGCTATTATTTTCAAAGCAAGGACTTCAAGGAATTGCACTTTTAATTTTTAATTAATATAAAAGCTAAAATATTTTTCTTAGTGGAACAGATGGAAATAAAATTGATGAACTAAATCATACAGCATATAGAGTTGAAGCAATGAATTTGATTTGGATTCATTATTGCTTTCGCGTAGAGGAAGCTATGTGATAGGCTCGAAAATGAGATTTTGATCCAGACGTCGTAGGAAAATTTGGTTTACATATTTGAAAACTACGTTGAATTACCAACAAATGTCTGTATGTATGTTGACCTTCTCACTCTTTTAGCTAAAATAAAAGTATAGTCTTCATTATAGTATTTACTTAGTCATATCTAAAATACCTAAAGTAAAACGGACTGAAATCAGTTTAATCACAGAGTTTAAGTATATGTTAAGAAAAGAATGTTTGTCAAATAGAAAATACCCTATTACCAAAATTTTCGAACAACTCATAGAAATATGACTAATTTGTCTTACGTGATTGCTTGACATATTAATTACGATGTAAACAAAATTACAAAGACTGAATATAAAAGTTCAAAGTATACAGGAGAATTGAAATGAGAACAGTAGAGAAATAATAGTACCAGTAGATAGATATTTCAATTTAAAAGTGAAAAGTTGAGAGCTTTGTGCAATGTTAGCTTCGATAGAACATAAATTCGAAAATCAAAATAGCAAAATACGTCACCAATGCGATTATTGCGGTAAGATTTTATCAACTAAACGAAATTTGAACAATCACGTGGATGGTGTTCATTTGAAGCTAAAGAAATTTGTTTGCGACGATTGTGGACAGTCTTTTGTCATGAAAGAACGTTTGAATAAGCACATTAAGAATGTCCATCAAATAATAAAAAATCACTCTTGCGACGCGTGCGGAAAGAATTTTTGTTATAAAAGTGAGTTAATTAGACACATTGATGAAATCCACGAAAAAATCAAAGATCACAAATGTGAAGAGTGTGGCAAGTCTTTTGGGCGAAACAGCTGTTTGATGAGACACATCGATGCAGTTCATTTAGAACTGAAAGAACACATGTGTGAGGAATGTGGGAAGCCTTTTGGTGATAAAATTAACTTGAATAAACACATTGATGTAGTACATAAAAATATCAAAGATCACAAATGCTTCGAGTGCGGCGAGTCGTTTGGATATAGAATGAATCTGATGAGGCACACCGATGTAGTTCATTTGAAACTAAAAGAACACATATGTAAGGAATGTGAAACATCTTTTGGATATAAACGTGACTTAAATAGACACATTGCCGAAGTACATAAAAAAGTTAAAAATTACAAATGCGAGGAGTGTGGCAAGCTTTTTGTACGGCAAACCCATGTGATGAGGCATATAGATGTAGTTCATTTGAATCTGAAAGAACACACGTGTGAGGAATGTGGGAAATCTTTTAGTGAAAAAAGCCACTTAAACAAACATATTGCCACAGTTCATAAAAAAATAAAAAAAGACAAGTGCGAAGATATATCGAGTTTTTTTCCACAAATGATTACTTTAAAGCACCCTCAGGTGCAATTCATTAAAAAATAAAAGAACACATCAGAAAAGAATGTTGCAAAGCTTTTAGTCCGATTACTATTTTTCAGAAGCACGTAATCGCAACTCATCGACATATTAAAAAATTAAGAAAAATCACGAAAAAACGGACCCTGCATTCGGATTCAGCGACTGAAATAACATAAAAATATTTCAATGAAGTCCACGGATGTTAAACATATTTATTTTGCTTATAAATTTTTTATTTCTATTTCTACTATTTTCAATATATGCGACATTTAACAATTGTTTTAAAATATAGTTGATATGTTCATTTCTATAAATGACGATAAACTCTATTTTTTAATTAAATTATTTTCTATTTACTATCATTAAAAAGTACAACTCCTTGACAAAAAATTACGATGTCTCGACGTTTTATTGCATTCCTATAAAAATTTATCATAGTTAATCATAAAAAAATTTTATATTCATTCCGATTTTGGAATTTATCAATTAACTTGAACTTTTTTAGTTACTTGCCATTTATTTTAGTTTATTTGTTAAATTAATAATTCATTTTCAATTATTTAATTAATTCAATTTTATTATTTGGAACGAAGGGCATGTGGTCTACAAACTCGTACAGATATTGATTGTCGTTGAGTTGTTGAATTCGTAGCAAAGACGAAAAAAATGAAAGAAAAAACAATTGTATTGCTTGAAAATAGTATTTGGTTTTATGATTATCTGAAAAGGTCTCGAGGTTTTTTTCGGCTTCATTGGAAGAGCCTACGGAAGGAGTTAATTATTTTGATAATTCAGACCTGTTGTTATTTACACCCGTCAAAAGTGTATCGTAGGGAACGGTTGCGGACAAAGAAAATTATAAGTTAAATAAAATACAAATCATAAAATAATAATAAATAGAAAAAGACGTGAATAATTCATCAAAATTGTTAACTAACTCACATAAATACAAGTAATTTTCTTAAGTGATGACTCGACGAATTAATTCCATAGTAAACAATATTTCAACTACTGAATATAATAGTTCAAAGTATACATGAGATTGAAAATTAGAACAGTACAGATGTAGTAGTACCAGTAGGTAGATAGTACCATTGAAAATTGAAAAGTCAAAGTTTGTTACAATGTCAGCCTTGGTAAAATGTACAGTCGGAAATCAAAATAGCAAAATACGACACAAATGCGATTATTGCGGTAAGATTCTCTTAACTAAACGAAATTTGAAGAATCACGTGGATGGTGTTCATTTGAAGCTAAAGAAATTTGTTTGCGACGATTGTGGACAGCCATTCAGTTCTAATTGTAACTTGAATAGACACATTGTCACAGTTCATGAAAAAATCAAAGACCATAAATGCGAAGAATGTGGCAAGTATTTTGGACATGTGGAGGAATGTGAAAAGTCTTTTGGTGAAAAAAGTAACTTGAATAAACACATTGCTGAAGTACATAAAAAAATCACAGATCACAAATGCTTCGAGTGCGGCAAATCTTTTGGAAAAAAGGGTAATCTGATGAGGCACATCGATGCAGTTCATTTGACAATCAAAGACCATAAATGCGAAGAATGTGGCAAGTATTTTGGACATGTGGAGGAATGTGAAAAGTCTTTTGGTGAAAAAAGTAACTTGAATAAACACATTGTTGAAGTACATAAAAAAATCACAGATCACAAATGCTTCGAGTGCGGCAAATCTTTTGGAAAAAAGGGTAATCTGATGAGGCACATCGATGCAGTTCATTTGACAATCAAAGAACATAAATGCGAAGAATGTGGGAAGTTCTTTGGACAAAAAACTTACCTGATGAGACACATAGATTTAGTTCATCTCGGAATGAAAGAACACATGTGTGAGGAATGTGGAATGTCTTTTGGTGAAAAAAGTAAATTACATAGACATATTGCCAGGGTACATGAAAAAATAAAAAATCACAAATGCTTCGAGTGTGACAAGTCGTTTGGAGAAAAGTCTTGTTTGATGAGACACATCGATGCAGTTCATTTGAAACTCAAAGAATTTAAGTGTGAGGAATGTGGAAAGTCTTATGGTAAAAAAAGGGACTTGCATACGCACATTGCTACAGTTCACGAAAAAATCACAGACTACAAATGCTTCGAGTGTGGCAAATCGTTTGGACAAAATAGTCATCTGATGAGGCATATCGATGCAGTTCATTTGAAACTAAAAGAACACATATGTAAGGAATGTGAAAAATCTTTTGGATATAAACGTGACTTAAATAGACACATTGCTGTAGTTCATGAAAAAGTTAAAGATCACAAATGCAAAGAGTGTGACAAGTCTTTTGGACGAAAAAGTGATCTTATGAAGCATATAGATGTAATTCATTTGAATCTGAAAGAACACATGTGTGAGGAATGTGGCAAATCTTTTGGTTATACAAGTAATTTGAATAAACACATTAGTGTAGTACACAAGAAAATCAAAGATCATAAATGCGAAGAATGTGGCAAGTTCTTTGGACAAAAAATTAATATGATAAACCACATAGATTCAGTTCATCTCGGAATCAAAGAATATATGTGCGGAGAATGTGAAAAGTCATTTCGTAAAAAAAGTACCTTAGATAACCACATTGACACAGTTCATAAAAAAATAAAAGATTACAAATGCTTGAAGTGTAGCGAAACTTTCGGACAAAAAAAGGATATGATGAAACACATAGATCTTGTTCATTTGAAAAACAGAGAAAACATGTGTAAAGATTGTGGAAAATCATTTGTTGCTAAAACGGACTTACTTCTACACATTACTGCGGCTCATAAAAAAATCATAGATCACAAATGCTTCGAGTGTGGTAAGACTTTTGGACGAAAGAGTAATCTTATGCGACACATTGATGTGGTTCATCTATTAATCAAAGAACATATATGCAAAGAATGTGGAAAGGCTTTGGGTTCTAAAAAAGACTTGAATAATCACATTAGTGCAACACACAAAAATATCAAAGATCACAATTGCTTCGAGTGTGGCAAGTGTTTTGGACAAAAAAGCAGTTTGATGAGACACATAGATGAAGTTCATTTAAAACTCAAAAAATACAAATGTGAAAAATGTGAGAATATTTTTAGTAGAAAAAAGCACTTGCTTACACACATTACTACGGTTCATAAAAAAATCAAAGATCACAAATGTTTCGAGTGCGGCAAGTCGTTTGGAGAAAAGAGTAATTTGATGAAACACATAGATTTAGTTCATTTGAATCTGAAAGAACACACGTGCGAGGAATGTAGGACATCTTTTGGTGAAAAAATTAACTTACACAGACATATTGCCACAGTCCATAATAATATCAAAGATCACTAATGCTATGAGCGTAGGAAATTTTTTTGGTTATTAAAGTGATTTGACAAAGCACATAGGTGCAGTTCATTTGAAACTTAAAAGACGCATGTGCGTGGAATCTGGGAAAGCTTTTGATTATAAACAGGACTTGAATAAACATATTTCTACAGTTCATAAAAACATCAAAGATTATAAATGTGAACAGTGAGGCAAGTCTTTTAAATACTGATTAAAATACTGATCAAAATACTGATTTGCAGAAACAAGTAAAAAGAGCCCATTGAAAAATGAAAAATTATTTATCCAAAGACTTTTACATGTTCTTGGGCTCTAGTGTAATTTGATAAGATATTATGCACGATTGAAGTGCGTTAGACGTACAAAAGGATAAAGAAATAAAAATTGATGCAAACTCAGTATCAACTTAGTTGTAGAACTCAAACAATATGATTTTGAAAAATAACGGGAAGATTAACGTGAATTATTAATTTGTTTTCATGCTGAATATTGTAACCTTTATTACCGATTTTTCAAAACTATTGAAAACACCAAAAAACCGACTCTGCATTCGGATTCATCGATTCAAAAACATCAAATTTTACCTCTGCAGTCCTTGAATGCGAAATTTTTTTACTTTAGCTTATAATTGTTCATAGTATTGACTTATATTTCTTTTAAAATATGTGATATTAAACAATTAAGAAGTAGTTGAAATGTATTTGTTACTATAAGTGTTGACAAATTGTGTTATATGAGTAGATAATTTTTATTCATTACTATTTCAAAGTTAAGCTCTCCGACGAAAGAATTACGATATATTAATGTACCATAGTTTATAATAAAAAATTAAATCTTTATCGCAATTTTTGAATTTATTCTTTCGTTCAAACTTTAATTTTATGCATGTTAAAATTGCATTTCCATAAATACATCGCAGCGAATCTATGCTCAAATGTAATTTATCATAATAACTGAGGTAGATTAGTTGATTAATAGTTGAATATAATGGAATTATTTTTTTTTACTTCCAATGTAGGGGTTTCCTGAGAATTCAGATGAAAAGAAAAAAAATTTTTTTGGCCCTTTATATTCAGTAGAAAAATAATATCAATCATAGGTCAAAACATTGCAAAGCTTACTATGTTTACATTATTCCTTATAGGCGTTTAATTCGACTCTTGTAGAGAATTCGACACACGAGATATCATCTGTGTTTAGTCGTTCTCTGCCGTACGTAGTTCAGTAACATCACGACGCCGATGCGTAAACAGACGATCTTATCAATTCGAATTAGCTGATTCTCGTGAAACATATTGAATTCAATAAATAGTTACAAGTGGCTGTGCGAGTGTAAATGAAAATGGCCGCAAGCGACACCGACTGCTTAAAAAATCTCAAGAGTCTGCGGCAAAAAGTCAATTGGGGGCTGGAAACGGATCGACGCGACTTACTCCGCCGACTCGACACTTTGATCAGCGATTGGCAGGGCCAACTTCCGAATCTCCGTGAATTTTATACGGACTACGAGATCGAGACGCTCCTCTGCGACGCCGTCGATCTTTCGGCCGAAGAGACGGAAGGCGTCGGCGGGCCGGGATCGCGATTCGTCGCGTTCGTAATCAAGACCGGCTACAGGGACGAGCCCGAGCTCGACGAGACGGGCCAGACGGTGTTGCCTCGCACCACCGCGATACATCGGGCCTACAGCGTCAAGAACTTCTCCATCTTGCCGGCTCTGTTCGAAATCTACGACAATTTCCGCGAGGTCGTCTACAACAAACGCGTGTTGACGCACTTTCACGTGGCCTGCATAGCCGGCCTCGACGAGGTCGTGCAAAAATTTTTCGACGTCGGCCGGGGTCCCAATAGCATCTGGCCGAAGAGAGGCGATTCGCCGCTACACCTGACCGTTGACGGCCTGCACAGGAGGACGGCCGAGCTGCTGCTGAGACACAGAGCCGCCCATCCCAATTACCCCAACGGTGATGGATCGTTGGTGCTGCACCTCGTCGCGAAGAAGGGGGACAGCGACGAGGCGCTGGACTACGCGAGGATGTTCTTCGAGATCAACGAGGAGATGAATCGCGAGGTGGTGGTGGACGCTCGGGACAGGCTGGGTCGGAGCCCGCTGAACCTGGCGCTGGAGCTGGGGCACGGGAGACTGGCCGAGCTGCTGCTGAGACGCGGCGCGGATCCCAATTATCCCAACAAGGACGGCGCGACTCCTCTGCACGTAATCTCGGCGCGCCAGAGCGACGACGCGGACGAATTGGCGAAGCGGTTCTTCGAGGTCTGCGAGGATGTAAATCGGCCGGTGCGGATCGACGCGCGGGACGGCTCGGGTCTGACGCCGTTGGAGGTGGCCGTGGCGAATTTCGTGCCCGCCATGATCGACGCGCTCCTGGACAAGGGCGCCGATCTGTCCAGCTTCGTCTTTCCCACCTATCATTACTCCGCCGAGGCTTTCGAGGCGGCGCATCGCAAGAGGATCGACGTGAAAACGAGACTGCTGACTCGCGTTCTGGGCTGCGTCGAGCGTCTCGAGGCACGAGGCCACCGACTGGAGCCGCGCGACGCCCTGACGATCCTGAAACTGTTGCGCGCGTACAAATTGCTCCACGACTCGAACGAGCTGCCCGGAACCTGGCGCACCGACGAGCAATTCCTGAGTCTGGTCGAGCGATGCGCCTTCAAGCCGGGCACGTCGTTTCGCGACTTGATTCTGTTGAGACTCGACGAGGCGTCGAAACGGTTCAACAGGGTCACGGACTTTTTGCCGCTCTTGAATTCGGACGAGTTCTCGAGTCTACCGGGAACGACTCGCGACAGGTGCCTCAATTATCTGAGCGAGATAATGACGAGGGGATTTTTGCGTCGGTGGTCGCCGATAATTTTTCAGGATCTGGCGCGCTACGAGCTGCCGACTCTCTGCTGTCGTAAAGTCGTCGCGATGCTGAGCGTCGGTGATTTACGTAAAGTATGCTTGGCAGCGGAAATCGTCGCGAACGAGGAGAGTCAAAGTACATGATAACAATTGCTATGAGGTATTTAAAAAAATGTTTTCACATTAAAATTAAGGTTTTTTTTTATTTTACAATTTCTATGGTTTTTTTCAGGCTACGAAATTGAAGAACTTTAAATCCTCTTAATTATTCTTAATCGATCTGGGAATTAAATAATTTTATTTAAAACTGATTAAATAATTTGTTAGTTGAAAATTTAAAATATTATTTGTATGGATGCCTAATTTTCATGATGTACCAAATAAAACTTGACATAAAATTTACGAGATTAATTGTAAATTAAATAAAACAGTGGATTGGATTCGAGTTATTATTCTTAAAAAACTGAATCTAGTTGAACGATGCATTTACGATACTTATTAAACAATTTAGGTATCGATAAGGATTTGAAAAAAAGAATTTTTTGTATTTAGAAGCAGAAAAATATTCTAAATGACAGTTATGTTCAATTTGTTAGGACGAAAAAATAGTAATGGCTAATTTTTCGATAATTTCCTTTATATTTTTTCATATCCAAACTTGCACTGAATGATGGAAAATCGTTGAAATACTCGATCGGAAAACTAAGATTGGGTTTGATTTTGAAGCTAAGTTTGTTCTTGAACTGTAACGCTTGCATCAGATAACGAAAAATTTTAGACGGGTGTGATATTTTATATCTCTGTGAAAATGCGTTGTTTATAACGCGCAAATTGATTACGCCATAGTTCACGGAAAAAAATTAAATTTGACATTTGTAGCTATGTACCTACTTTTTATATTACAAACCAGAAGTCAAGGGCGGAATTGATCAGAAAATATATTCCATGCTAATGCTGTGCGCTGCGTAACGCATATAGCCTTGCGCATATAGCGTTTTTATACAGAACTATTTTACATCGCTACAGCCTCCTAAACAACAAAAAAATATCGATATAGTTGATGCAAGAATGTACCACGTCTACTGCCGTATTATTTAATAAATAAAAAACTGGGGCGCGAAATAACAGCAATTTTACGGGTAAGGATTGCTTAGAATACAATAAATAAAGAAAATACTTGATCAAATATTCATTGCATCATATTTAAACTATCAAAGTGCGTTTGCACGTGCACAATAACTTAAAAAATAAATAATGAAAATTAATGAGAAAAAATGCATCTTTTTCGTAACACGATAAAAAAAAATTATAAAATGTTTTATTGGTACTTGTTTGGAGGTACAAACAAGTTCTTTGGAGGATCAAATTATCATGAAAACTTTTTGAGCCGATTTACATTGCGTCATTGTAAGATTAATTAATTAATTAATTGATGTATGAAGAATCAAAGTGTATCGTTCAGTGTGTTTATGATGAACTCCATACTATAGGCCCATCGCAATTAAAAATCTGAGATGATGAATGATGCCTTGTTTTGATTTATTCAAACATAAAAAGTTTCATGTACATGCGAGTTTTTATTTGCTTAAAAAATGTTTTATAGTTAAATAATGTTACATGATTATTGTAAAGTTTCCTAACGTTCAGACATTGATTGTATAATGTTTGGAACTATTTACTCAAATTATGAAAAAAAGTAGTTTTTTCAAATAATTAATGCAAAAAAGAAGTCCCAGGCTGCAATCTCACCTCAGCTGTGATGGATCACGGTTTTTTCTGGTTTTTGATTTGGTAAAAATATGTCTATGAAATATTAGCTATTTCTAAAATAAAGAGATTTCATTGCCATTATGTATGACATTCCTGTATTGACGACCTTGAATTCATTTAAAAAATTAATATTCTTATTAGTGCTATGGGTAAGAAATGTTTTATTTACAAAAGTAACAAGGCTAAAGTCTACAGGAATTCCAGGACCTGCGATCCAGCCAAATGGCTTAAATGCCCGGATCATGATCATCAGCAAGTAGAGTCGGTTTTTCGCAGTCCATTCGTACCAATCAGTAGCATAACTAAAAAATGATAATTTTCGATATAGCCTCTATTGAACTCTCACTTATGACATTTGTTTTACCATGCAACTAGAAATTCATTATTTTTATCGAGTATCATTTGACTCGCAAGACACAGGATGAATAGACTAAGAATATTTGCCACAAATGCTAACGTTAGTTTTGTAGCATTTGTATCAAATCCTGTTTTAATTTGAGCTATTATCTGACACATAATGTCGATGTATTAAAAAACGAAAGAAAAATTATTCAAGTAAAAGCAATTACCAAGAATCCAATAACTGTAAACATCAGTAGAAAATTGCATAAAGCACCGAATAATAGATTTCGAGCAATTTTTTCCGCACTAAAACTTAATCTGTAATTTTATTTTATTTTAATATCTATCATGTTCAATTTGATGAAAAAAATTTTTATTGATATTTAACTCAATAACTTTGTGGTGATTTTTAATTAAGTTAATTAGTTTACGTTCGATTTTGAAATTAAAATGACTTTTTGATGTCACCTCGTTTTTGATCTTCAAATCATCGGCGATTTTATAAATTTTTTCACTACAAATAAAAGTGATTATTTCTCCCCGTAATTAAAAAAATATGATTGAACATTAGATGTCCATCTTTCTGATTTGTTCTTACCACAAAAGATGACTTCTCGAATAGATGAAAACACTATATGTCACATACAAACTTACAAAATAACACATTATATAAGTAACAAAAACAAATTGCATAGTTTCTAAAACCAATATGTGAATGAAATAATCGTCCAAATTAACGAAATATTTGGAGTAAAGAATCGGGTGGTCCGACTTTTGTAATTTATATTCCATGAGAGGTCCAACATAAGTGCAAATGCTATACGCAATGGCACTTCCACCTACAAGAAAATCGCATCAAATTAAATAGCTTAATTTTTATTTCAAATATACATTGATATTTACAGAACTGAAATACTCCTATTTTGTTACTTTTTTTCCACACTTTTAAGAGATTTTTTTTTTCTTCACAATTTTTTTCCATAGTTAATTGTTTTTGTACTACAGTACTTATACCGAAAATCTATTGTAAATTGCATAAGTTATTGCACGGGTACATTTTAATAACATTAAAATTAAAAATTGACTCATACTTCTTTATTTTTTAGTATCCCTATTATGTAAAATGTGAAGGCGAATAATATTACTGACAGTTGAAAAATTATATCTATCAGAATAAGCATATCAATTTTTTTTGAAAAATATACTTCTTCATACAGCTGGGCAGTCTTAAAATCGTTGATTTTATTATTATGAATCAAATAAAAAATTGAACCATATCTAAGAATTTAACATATCCTCACCACTCCAAATAAACAAACCGATAATGTAGATAGTACTGCAATCCTACCAATTATGTTAATCCTATGATTATTATACGGCCATAAAAAAATCATCTTCGTTGTCCACAGAAAAAAATATGCATGTTCTAATAAAAATGTTTCCGCTGGTTTCGCCATTTTTAAAATCCATGCAAGTTGAATACAATTTTTTAACTGATGTAGACTCATTGTGGTTGCCATAAACAAATTTTTTCCTTAGGGTTGTTTTTTCATTGTATAAATTATAAAGTAGAATGAAATGAAATAAAGAGAAATAAATTATAATTTCTTTGAAACAAATGTTACTAGTTAAATTGCTTACTCGTGTACTGATTTTTTATGTATGTATGTTTTATGTTTTATGTATGTTTAGGTATTACTTTCAATAATCAAGAGGTACGGTAGCACCTTGCCGGCAAAGTATAAAAATAAATTTATTTAAAATTTATTTAAAATTATTTCAAAAAAAATTTATTTAAAAGAATAAAATTAAAAAAAAAATAAAATAAACAAAAGACGGACAAAAGAACAAACACGAACATAAAAGTAGGTAGCGTCAATTGTTTTTTCCTCATTCGCGCGCATCCAAAGTTTCACTGTGAAAAAAAGTTGCAGAAAAAATTATGACAAAATCATCGTTTCATCTCGTAAGTCATAATTTTCCCATTATTTAAATATCATTTTTCTAAAAAAATAAAAACGTGTACGCGCAGAATTAAAACATCATGAGTTGATTGTTCGACGATATCAATTGAAAGGTGATACAAGGGCATGCAAGTAATATGGACGTGTCAAGGCGATATGGCAACTTCGTTTTATTACCAACTGAACCTTAATATTGTAAATTTGCATAGCTTTTTCCTAGCACTGTCTTATCAAAAAGGTTGTGTGGAGCTCTCCATTTTGTTTCTATCAATAACTGTTTCTTATAATTTATCTAATTTCATGTAATAGTTTCCCCGAAAATCAGGATCAAAATGTTTAATTCCATAGGAACTAAAATTTTAATTCCATTTTTCCAGATAATTAGCAAATACAATATTGTGCCGTTATTCACGGCAACAATATAGGATTTCACAGAGCCGCGATTCAAAAATTGATCTATCAAAAGAGATGTGCCAATAAACAATTTAATTGCTCTATGGATAAAAGATAAGACTGTGGCCAGATCTATATTCCTAATAAATACCCACACACGGTAGCACTCGCAGAACGTGGCCGCTTTGTGATACTGTGAAATCGCATAAATTTTCTTTGACATTACCCATACCATAATTATATAAACATGAATTATTACTTTTTTTCAAAATAAACATTATGTTTCAATGTCCATGCAATTTAAATTTAACAACCTTTAATATATTTCGAATATAATTTTTTTATTGCTGCGATAAATAAGAATATTTTACTTACAAAAGTAACAGTACGGAAGTCTCCAACCTTTTAGAACTTTTGTTCTAAATTTTATCCTGCTATTACGGATATTCGGCCGCTTTAGCTCAATTTATTAAGATTACTTATTATTATTCATACGTTAAGGAAGGACATGATATATTTTCCTTTTTATATTATGGTCAGTTAAGATTTCATTATAATCATCCGACTGAGTCTGAGTCAAAGCGAAGATTGTGCTCGGACTGTATAACGTTTACATCAAACAAGGAACAATTTTAGATGGTCATGATACATTATATCTCTGTAAAATTGCATTCGATATAATGTGCAAAAAGTAAACTAGAGCTCAAAATCAAGTTCAAAAGAAAATATATTAGACTGCAAAATAATATGAAGCATCGCTCCACGCATTTCTGTGTGCGTGTTATTCTCCGTAAAACGTTTTGCCTCGCATTGTGTTATGCGATATGTTTACATTGTTGCTTCGATGCTTGGTTCAACGCGTAATATAACGAGAACGTGGCGGGACACGTCCGAGGGCCGAGGCTCACAGTGGGCAGTGCTGCGCTACACGTCGAGTCGTTCAGTTCGATACACGTTACGACGCCGCTGAGCAAAACAAAGAAAAGTCGCATTGATTCGCGAGCAGTGACACTAGTGAAAAAAAAATTAGTTTTACAATTTTCAAGTCTGTGAATATTTGTTTGATTGTGGTACACAATGAGATACTACCGCGGGGATGACTACGATTCCGACGTTGCTGGTGAAAATAATTTAGAAGAATTGAAAACCATGCGTAAAAAGCTAAATTGGGAGATCGAAGGAGAGAGATATAAATTTTTGCGTGAGTTTATCTCTTTAAGCGTCGGATGGTATCGTTCTAGACCAAATCTCGAAGAAATGTTTCGGCCAGAAGAAATCGATTGGATACTAATGGAGTCAGTGAAGAGCATAAATGACGACCACATAAATAACAAGCAAATTAATTTTGTACCTACTTTTATCGAGTTTGTGGCCAATAGCCACTACAAAGACAAGCCTGACGTTGATGGAAACGACAAACCATCGTCGCGTCGCACCACTGCATTACATTGCGCGGTTAGATTGCCCGGTTACTCTTCCCTCGTCAAGAATCTATTTAAAATATACGACAGATTCGACGTCAATTATACCGACGAGTTAGGTCTAACTCATTTACACGTGGCCTGTAAGTATGGCTGTGAAGAAATCGTAGCGAAATTTCTCGAGTTCGGGCATGATCCTAATTGCCTTGAACAGAAAAAAGCCGATTCGCCATTACACTACGCTCTGCGCTGGGGAAACAAGGAGGTGACCGAGTTGCTGCTGAGACATGGTGCAGACCCGATTTCAGTTAACAATGATGGATTGACACCTCTGCACTTTCTTTGTCTTCGAAAAGACGACGATGACTCGGCGAAGATATTCTTCGAGATAAACGACGCAAATCATCAAACAGTGCCGCTCGACGTCGTGGACAATTTGGGTCGGACACCTCTGCATATGGCTGTGGCCAGTCTCTTGCCCGGAACTGTCGATATGCTCTTGAATCGTGGTGCCGACATGTCTAGCTTTGTTTTCCCCACTGAGATAGAGAGTTACTTTGTCGAGAAATATAACTCGAAAGGTGATCTTTGGAGTGATTTAAAACTGACTCTAGCTTGCCGCGCTCTCGCCGTCGTCGACCGTCTCGAAAAAAGAGGATACCAATTGGATCGAAGCGATGCCTTAACGATCGTGAAATTTTTCGCCAAGCATGAAATTTTTAATAAGTCAGCCGATCTTGATTATTATTTGCGTTGTAGGCAAGGATTCGTTGTCGGGTTAAAAGAATTGATGTTGACTCCGAGCTTGTCGCTTCATGACCTAATATTCCGGTCACATCCCAAAGAGGAGGAAAAATTACTCACGTATTCGGACTACTCAAAATTCGAGAACTCGCATGAATTTCGGAGTAACCGTGAAGAATTTCGTCAGGCGTGTACTGCGCGTCTGTGCGAGATAATTTCAAGACGATTTTTTCGTCAGTGGGCCCTGGAACCTCTGCTGGAGCTGACGCGCCACTACCACCTGCCGATTCTATGCTGTGAAATTATCATCAAAAAGCTGAAGAGCGAGGATTTGATGAGACTGTGCCTAGCCGCCGACATCGATGCAGTAGAGGACAGTCAAGCACGTGATGTTCGTGACGAAGGTTTTTTACATTTATTTTACTCATAGTAATTGCAATCTTTTTTATTTTATTATATTACATCTTTTGTACATTGTTTGTTTTTCTAGGCAACGAGCTCGAGGAATTACATAATACATTTTTTGAAGATTGTGTAAAAAGTTTAGATGGACTAATGTTGCAATATTTTCATCGGTTTGAATAAATTCAAATCACGTATTAAAATAAAAATTTATCATTTAAAAATAAAGATGTTGGCAAATGCCTATACGCAGTCTCACATAGTAAATCGTCGAATACGAATCGGTACAAAACCAACAGGCCGAATTAGTTGCACCAACTGGATCGAAGCTCTGCAGCGGGTAAACTCGGAGCTTTTCAATTCCTGCATTATCCACGTTGACACCGACAACAAGTAGATACTATATAAGCTTCGGTTTCTTGTTACTGTCTTACCATCGTGAGGTTTTATGAGTCGTGTGCGACAGAAATGACGATTTTCATGTGCGAATCTATTAATGTGAAATTCAAATACATACCAGAATCTCTTCCATTTTAATTTTAAAGTAGAAAAATGCTTTCAATTTTTATCCATTTTTTAAAAAAGCTCGATCTTCATTCATGTCATTCGCTCTGTATTCAATATAATTTCAAATAAAAATGTCAAAAATAATTTTCCATCTATATCTTCATTCCTCAATGTGTCCTTTTTATTCTTCAATAAAGTAACGAATAAGAAAAAAAGAATCTAATCGAGTTTTATCGAGTTTATCGAATAACCGAATCCGCTCAAATGCTGCACAAAGAAATGTTGAAAAGGCGAGCTTTTTTTTTCCAAGCACCTTGTAAAACTTTTGTTTCAAATTTTCTCCCCCGCTACTGCGGATATTCGGCCGTGAGCTTCGAGTCAATTAGTCCCGCCTGTTTGCGCTCCTCCGCGTTTAAACTGCGTCGAAAGTTTCCGTCAAAAGCTCGCACTCGCACACACACAAAGACGGATTATAGATTTTATTCACCCGACAACTGCTGGCCTCTAACGTCGGTAACTCGTCCTCGCGATTTGAAAATTTCAACGACGACGCACACACACACACACACACACACATACGGAAAGAAATAAAGTCAGGCTCGCTCCACTTTGACGTTCACATTATAATACTTATACTTTTACTGAAATAACTCGGCCGACGCGTCCCGGCTGATTCGCGTCAAGCTGAGAGAGAGAGAAAAAAAAGTCCCCTCGTCCGCGAGCTTTTTAGTCGAAAAGCTGCTGCCGCCTCAATGCGACAGGCGGACGCGCGTAATAACGCAATAAATTCTTTATTAAAAAACTTTCGTCGCGCAACAATGATAGGCGCTGCTAAACTTTTTTGCGCTTGCGCCTCTCTCTCTCTCTTTATCATACATGCATAAAAAAAAGCAGCTCCTCGCGCTCTCGCGGACGTATACATCTATACACGCGTTACAACATCACACACGTGTCAACATACATATACGCGTCGAAGCGAGTACACGACACATGTGCAGTAGCGGCGCTCTCCTCCTCGGTCGGTACACACACATACACACAACGTACCTCTCTTCTGTATATCCTCCTACTACTCTACCTCTCCGCGTGTATAGCCTATATATGCTATAGAGCTCGGCTCGCGCGAAGCTCTCTCGGCGCCGTCTCTCCAGCTGCAGTCTTCGCTACGCGCAGCAAGAGCGAGCAAGCCCGTCGCCGCCGCCGCCGCACGAGTGAGGCGCGAGAGGATGTTGTTTCGCGCGTCGCTTCGCGTCCTCGCAGCCGCTGCTGCTGCTCGCGATCCTCTACCAATTATCACGGTTGTATCGTAGAAAAAGAAAAAGCAACAGATCGCGAACGATTTTTCGGTCGTTGCGTTGCCGTATATAAATATTGAAAATTGTCGTACGATAAAGCTTTTGTTTTCGGTTTCTTTTCCTTTTTTTTTTGTTTTTGTGTCGCGCGTACGGAAAAGTGCGGTGAGCGAAGATAAAAAGAAATGGAAAGTTGCTGGCGACGATCTGTGGCTTTGCATAAAAAATATAACCGAGCTTATACTATGCAGTGTTAACGAGTGAAAGTGCTTTTTTGTTGATGCAAAATTCAAGAAGATAAAGAGAAAGAAAAAAAAGTGTCCGTGGAAAATATGCCTCGCCGACGATTACCCAGTTTGGCGTACACTCGTTCGTACCGATTGCACTCCGACGTCGCACGATTTTTATACATTGATTATACTCTGGCGTGTGTGTATGTGGAAAGCGATCAGCCTCGCTGCTGACGATAGAAAAATAAGAAAATGTCATAGAGCCTCGCGTTAAAAAAAATTTTCGCTCCCTCTTGTTTCTCGATAATGCTGGACAAAAGCGAACGCGAGTCAATGTGAATAAAAAGAAACGGTAGAGCGAAATAAAATTCGATGCAACGCGGAGAAATCTCGACGGCCGATTCTCATACGTAGATAGATTTTCATACGTACACACACACGGGTGCGTCGGATTTCTCTCGATACATAATGTTTGTCCGTTCGACGACGACGACGACATGATGGATGATTTTCTTTTCTCCGCGTCCCTCGGCTTTGTGCAGTAGTTTGACTGTTTTTTTTTTTTTACTTTTTATTACCTGTCCTCCAGCACCAACGACTCCTCCCGGTGGGGAGGTTTTCGCGATATTTTATATACACGGAGATGCACTATACGGACAAAACGCTATACGGATCCGTGTACGTAGAGCATCACAAGCGATATATATTTGTCACGAATCGTCCTTCTTTGGCGTCGCGTGTGTGTACGTGTATCGTATTGTGCCACTCGCTATTATAGACGAGCTTGCACACACGGCGGGCGCTATAACGTATCTATATCGCATGTGTGCCACTTGTGTATATAAAGTCGCAGCGGAAGAGAGAGACAAACGACAATGACAAAATAATAATAATGTTTTTTATATAGCAAAAAAGAAGACGAAATAACGTCGTGGCGATAAATCTGTATATATTCTCTCTTTGCGTAATTGCTTCTTCTTCTTCTTCCACTGCTTCCATTTTTTTTTTTTTTTCGAATCATTGATATCGGTTCAACAACGAGAACGAGTATTATTCGTATACGAGGCGTGTGCGTGCGTGATATGATTGATAACGCAAATAATAATCGTTATTTACCCAACTATAAATTGTCTTTATCGCGTGAAAAAAAAGGCGGTCGATCGTTGCTGCGACTGCCGCTGCTGCACACGGGAGACTTTTGACTCGCGTATACATTTAAATAATATAATACAATATGTGTGCATACGCGTAACCAACGGCTTTTGAAACTCATCTCGCGTCTCGGGTCTCTCTCTCTCTCTCTCTGTCACTCGGCCGCGCGTGAACTGCAGTAAGGTCGCACCAGCTCGCTTTCTACATACACACATATGATGCACGTGTACAAGAGTGTATATATAATATTTAGACGCATGTACGTGCGATGCAAACATCTATACGTGCTGTGCGTCGGGGTACGCGAGAGAGTAAACCGAAAATCTATTAATGTTTAGATTTCCAGCGGGTTTACACACGCCTGGCACGTAGCGGGCGATGATCGAGTTTACACGTACACACACGTCTCGCGCGTATACATACACACACGCACACTCGGAAAATATGAATCGCTCGGTAGCTGGAGCAGCGCTACGGACTGCATCTCCAGCAGCTGTGGTGGTGTTGGTAGATGCAGGTGCAGGTGAAACATCAGCAACAACAACAACAACAACGTCATCGTCGTCGTCGTCTGCTACGTGGCGCAGCGATCAGGTCGTTGAAATTGGAAAATTTTTACTTTGAGAAGTGCTTACACACACATACACACATGTACACACAGCGCGAGTGAGTGAGTGAGTGAAATCATACAGAGCGGCTTTTTATGTGATATATAACCGCGCGAGCTTCGGAGACAAGAAGCTTTTTTCAAGAATGATTGCTCCGAGGTATCGATCATCGAGATTTAACGTAAGTATTTAATTATAAAACGCTGATTAACAATTTTCTCGTCGTTGATTGAAAAAAAAAGTAGAAAGAGAAAATGCACTAGGCAGCCGCCAGCCTATCTCTATCTCTGTATTATAAAATATATAATAGCGATGGAGAACCACTCCGCAACGTGTAAATTCCATCACCCCGCCGAGCTTGCGATAACAATTAGCCCTCGAGGGCCGTAGCGATGGTAGGTAGGAAATTTTCTCACTTATATATAGGGAGACGAAAGGCAGAGCGCGAGGAGTTTGCTTTTACACGAGCGAACGACAGCGGCAGTAGTAGTAGTAGCAGCGGAGAAAGTGAGAATAGAATAGGAAAAGAAGCTGCCGAGCGAAAACGAGCTGCTGCTGCTGCTGTCGATGGTGTGCGGGAGGGATCTCTCTCCCTCTCGAGCTCTCTCCTTATATATAGGTCTTTATAGACTACTATTACTACAGCAGTAGTAGTAGTAGTAATGCAGACGGTCAAAGTAGAGTATGCACGCAGGGAAGGAGAAGGAAGGAAAAAGTTTAATTGCTCGTCGGAGACGACGACGACGACGTTCGGCTTAATCTAGCATCTAGAATCGTTTACACAAACTGTGTGCAGTAGCAGCAACAGTAGCGTCAACTTATAACTTTGCGCGAAGCCCAGCGATTGTGTTCGAGAGAGAGAGACAGAGAGACAGAAGCGTGTATACGTCTTATAATCACTCGCGCGATGTCCTTTTTTTTATTTGTCTTTTTAGCAGCTTCGCGTCGCACCGTAGGATTATCCGATAAGTCGATGAGAGAGACAAGGTGGCCAAGGGTGGTTAAATGAAAAAAAAAGAATCAACTCGCTCGAATAACGTAATAATAATAATAATAATCAATCGCGAGTAAGAAAGAGAGTGAGCGAGAGCGACGGTATGGTCGAGCGCGACCTACATCTTCTTATCTAAATTACATTTCCAATTTCGTCAGCGGGGCGGAGGGGGGTGGGACTCCGGTGGTGTATATACACATACATACGAGTTCGAACGTGTATGTATAAACACACGAGTTCGTCTATATAACGTCGTTTATGAAAAATCAATCGCTCGTAATGCGTACAAATATATATACCACCCATCGTCGAAGTCGCGGTTACGGGGGGCGGGGTGAAAAACAAAAAAAGAGCGATGTATTTATATCGGCGAGCAAACAAACAGCGGGAGATCGTGTTTGACAACGAGGCAGAAAAAAGTGCATCCCGTGTATACATACACACACATATATACACACAGCCAGTGCTCGTTCAGGGGTAAAGGGCAACTTTTTTTTTTTTGCACCGTTGGCCGCGCGACGACGAATATATATCAACTCGAGGAAATTTTCATCGCGCATCTATATACCGTTGTTTATAAATCACGCGGCGGTTCGGAGACGAGCTTATTGCTGCTGCTCGATGGGTCTGATCGCGTGTACACACACACACACACGCACAGTCAGTTCAGTCAGTCAGTCAATAAATTCGTGTATATGCGCATCGACTTTTATTGACAGTTATTTGGGTAACTTTTTCGAGTGCGCATCCGTGTATATATATACGCGTGTGTACACACAAGCGCGCGGCAAATAACTCCGTCGAATTAATACCCGATGAAGCGAGCAATCGTCGCGCCCCTCCCCCCCTCCCTCGCTCGTAATTATGACGTGCTTGAAAAATCGAAAAATCCGCGCTCGTGCTGTTTACTCGCGTGCGATTTCGCGGTGTAGCGGGGGAGCTATGGGCTAACTTTAATTTCGCTAATTAACTCTCCGGGCTTGCCACCAGATCGTTACGTTGTGTAATGCCGGCAATGAGCGGAATGCGATTTTAACAACTGTTTTTCTTTTCTTCGCTTTCTTTTCTTTCTTTTTTTTTCAATTAACGCCAGAAGAAAGAGAGCGTGTGGACGCCCAGCTCGAGCCAAAAAAATTGTTTCTCAGCTATTGCGCGTTGAAATGACGCGAACGAGTATTTTATAATTGCACTCGTTGGTGGAAATATTCGAGTGCGATGCATGTCACGCTGAGTTAATTTTCTCACGCGATAACAACCTTTGGATATTACACTTTTATACAAAATTGACGACGCGTAGCTTGTGCCCCGATATTGGGCTTCTATATAATTTCCTACCTTAGCTACTTCGTGCGGGGGTTTTTCGAATAACAGGATAAAGCCATCTATCGGCGGCTCGTCGTATCTACCCTACGTATATCGTTCAAGGCGAACCAACTCTTCGGAGCACGAGAAGACAGGGCGTGGATGATTTTTGCCAAAAATTGCGATCTTAAAAAATTTGATTATAGAGCCTTGTATATATGTCTACGCATTGGGCTTCTATATGATTCTATACGATGGTCTTTGTTACTTCGTACGGGAGTTTCTTCGAAAATACAATAAAACCATCTACAGGCCGGTAGCGGTATCAGTCCTACGCATTGGTCGAGGTGAATCGACTTTTTGGAGCGCCTCGATAACGTGGCGTTTATACTTGAATATTTACCTCGCGATCTTTTTTTCCGATCGAAAATCGATGGTTTTTTTTTCGGTCAAACTCGCAGCTCGTTGTAACCTCGACGTATCGTATAAGACGCAAGCTCGTTACGAGCGAGCTTTTACCGCGTATACATGAAAATATATATACGCAGAGAGTACTCGAGGAAGTCGAAGAAAAAAGGTTATTACACGGCCACGCGAGAGCGAGAGAGAGAGATCCCGCGAAGCTTATCTAACATCCGACGTGCGCTATATAGAACTAGCTCGCTCCACATATATACGTACGAGGCACATTCATATTATATATATGTATAATGCACACGCTATACCTATGAGGCATATATAATACGTCGGTGCTAGCGTATATATATATGTTACATATACACGTGTAAGCTCGTCGCGCGCGCAGCGCCAGGATTATAAGGAATCGGGCGCGAGCTTGCACGAGTATACGGAGGTCGACTACTGCAACGAAGAGAGAGAGATGGTGTGTTTTGCCATTAAGTGAAATGTAAGTCACTGGGTGCGCAGCTACTGCGCCTGCCATTACTGTATATGAGTAGAGCTTGCAAGCTCTCTCTCTCTCTCTCTCTCGCTATATATATAGTATAGCCTAGAGCTCGGTTCAGCTCCAGTTTGTAATAGCTCTCTCTCTCTCTCTCTCTCTCTCTCTCTCTCTCTCACTCGATATAGGCGCAGAGCGAACTGCCCCCCGGCTTTTATGCGCGTAATATGACGTTAGGAAGGAAAAAAAATGGCCCGGAATAATCAACGGTTATCTGCCTCTCTCTCTCTGTTCGTCCGCGAGCGGCGCGTCCACGTGCATGTGTGCTTATATAGCATGTACGCGTGTGTGTGTGTATGCGTTGTGTATACACACATGCATGCGCAGCTGTCTATATATGTATAGCCGCAGATGTCATCGCCGAAGCAAATGAAATAATCGACGAATTGCGTGCGATGCTTAATTAATAAAACCGTATACGCGGTGTGTACGGACGGGTTTTCCATCGAGACGTATACGTATATCATCGAGCTTGCAGCGGACGCGAATAATATAATAAGAAGAGGAAGAAGGAGAAAAAAATGACTTCTATTGGGCGCGCGGTGTATATGTATGTATTATATACGTAAGCTCTGTGCTGCTGCTGCTGTCACTGGCCTATGGTCTGGCGCGCGCGTTCGCTGACCTACAACGAGCCGCAGGCAAAAAAAAAACATCAACAACAACAATAACGGCACAGGATAAAGAAAGCTATAAAAACGCATTAATCATACCGCGAGGTTCCTTTTTTATTTTTTTTTTGCTGTACATACACACGCCGCTGTATATATTCTTTTCGCGCTCGATCGCCCGTGTAATTGTTTGACGTCGAGCGGCAGCGCTTATGTATTATATACCAGCGCAGCAGCTACTATATATACACGGAAAAGCACAACATATGTAACGCACACCACCACCACCTATGTATATAATAATAATGATAATAATGATAATATTGTACGATACGTGTCGTATTATATAGGCAGCACAATTTGTTATTTTAACGCTGCGTGTAACATTTACGCGGCCGCGTAAAATCATCATTATTATGTGTACCGAATAATACGTTAGCGGACAGCTCCCCGTTTACCCCCGGTACGTGTTATATGTGCGTAAGCGTGTGTGTATACACGCGAAAGCCGCAGCAGCAGCAGTCGACGAGAGATTTTTTTTCCACCGCTCGTTGCCGTTTCGAAAAAGTAATTAAAATATGGAGATTTTCGAGGCGGTGCTCCGTTGGCGGTTTTTTCTCTCTGTATAGCATACGTGTTCGCGTGCGTGTGTAAAAGCTCGAATGTAACGTTACACTCGACGTTATATCCATAGATATACATTGTATGTAACGATATAATGTGACGAAAACTTTGATGGACGAAGTTTTGGTACGCGCGCAGTGCAAATGTGATATTTTACTTCGACGACATTTGTGCGTGGCCCTCAAAAATCATGCATGACGACGAAGATACGTTTTCCTTTTTTACATCCTGTATCATACGCAAGTATACGATATAATAAGGACGCTCGCGGGCTTGTCAATCGTGTCTATGTACATACACCCACTATACCCCCCGGAATATCAACAGGCTCAACGTATTATTTGCAACAAAAAAAAAAGTAAAAAAAAAAAGGAAGTAAAAGAAGTAGCAGGTCGCGGTACAGCGAAAGTTGAGGAGAGGAAAGAGTAGATGAAAGCTACTTGTGCTATCCTTTGTGTATATACACGTAGCAGCGGCGGCAGCGGCAGCAGCAACAGACCGGGAGAACTTCCAAGTGCTTTTCTTTTGCGGATTTAGCAAGTTTGTCGTCTTGTGCTGCAGAGCCCCAGCGAGAAACCGCAGCAGAGACGAAGGGAAGAGGGAGGATACAGGTGCACGAGAATGCATAGTATTCCTTAACGACTGCGACTCTTTGCATCGGTTAATTCACGCGTATTATGTAAAAAAAA